ATGATGACCACAAATGCAAGGCTTATTCAGAGTGTTAAAAAAATGTGAGTGATAATTCGTTTTCTGGCCATTAATGTTAAAATTCAGAATTATATAGTGTAAATGTAGATAAACATATTTTCCAACCACGTCTGCTATTGGACTCTTCAGGCTAATTACTGCCTCCCTAGAATATGATCTCTTTTCATGCTGACCACTCCCCCAGCCTCTGTACACCAGCACCAGTGGGCAGGGACGGCTCTTCTGGAAGAGCTGTCTCAATTGCATGAGGACAATCTACTCAGCTAAAGACTGACCCGTGACTGTAGGATGTTGCCTCGTCAAATGGTGGCAAGAGAGCTGCTACAAAGGCTCATTTGTGTTGTGGAGCAAGGTTCTCAAAAGGCCCTGGAGAGGCCAGGACTAGTGCACTCTGAGGACTGCCTAACACCCGGTGGAGAGCCTGCAGGGGCGAGGGGGCCACCACAGGAGCCAGCAGTGGAGCTCACAGGGTAAAGCTGGCTCTACTCTTCTCCCCTGCTGCCCTCAGGTGCTATAGAAGGGAGAAGGCACCGCGCTGGGAGCAGACAGGAGAAAGCTGATACAGAGCTCTTGTACAGGCTGAAGCCCAGGGCTGAGAGGTGACTTTTGGTAGCTTAGAGCCCTGAACACATGCTCTGTCTGACATAAGAGTCACCTCAAATCATCATGTTACCACCTTTCTGACAGCTCAATCAGGCACTGTCCTGCAAACAATATACCGTGAGTGCCAGCTGAAGGGCTTCACTCTCTGGGCCCAGGCTGTAGGCTTGAGTCCCGGAGCTCCTCGTGGCATCTTGTGGAACCACATGTGAGCAGGGCTGAAGGGGAAGAGCCCCCAGAAAGGCAGATATGGGACAGGGGCTCCTGTAGGTCCCTTTCTGGGCTCAGAGAGGCTGACCTGGATGGCTCTGCCACCTTGGTCAGTCTTGGGCACTGGATGGGGATATAGAAATTTTCCAGAAAGGAGCTTTCTAAACTAAGGCACAAGGGACATAGGTCAGAGTCAGGACTCCCGGTACTGCCAGCCTGGTCTGTATCAGGGCACTGGTGGGGAACTAAGGCAATTTTTTGAGGAAAGCATTTCAAAGCTGGTGGGAGGGAAGATCCCGTGCCCAGATCTAAGGGTGGTACGGGGGTTATCGGCACCTGGTGCACTTTGGTGTATTTCTGACTTTCTCAGGGCATTGCACGTTAGCCTCTTCAGTGAAATAATTTCCCCATGGGTGAGGGAAATTCCTATCCTGTTTTTTTAGAACAGCCTAAAGAAGAGCAAACCTGTTAAGCAACCAAGTCACCTTAAATCCTTTCCAGATTAATAGGAATTAATCTATTTTCTTGACATATAACCACCTCTATTTTTATGGAGTTAACTGAGGCTCTGGTGAACGCAGAGCACGAGCTTGGCTTGGAGGAGTTTGAGTGTACTAGAGGCAGCAGATCCTTGTGTAGTGTTGATGGTGCATGTGAAGGATTACTATTGTTCCTTTTATTGTCCTCTGCTGAAGTACCACTTTGAGAGTATCCTTCCAACAATTCTTATTTGGTAATCATCCCTCAAAGATTCTTGCTAGGACAACAGGAGAACACAGAAAGTTGTGTTGTGCTACAGCAACTCA